ATTATAACTTGACAAAATGGGATTGTTAGAGAAGTATCTGAATGGTGCTCTAACTTGAACATGGTACTTTTTGCAAAAGGGTACCCAAAGCTTCGCAAATTTAGAGGCTTCAATGAGAGTGTACAGAGTGAGAGGTGAACACCCATCATCTGATACATAGCAAGCTAGCTTGTGAGTTGGATAATCAACGGCTAGAAGTGAGAGCACTGTGTTCACAGTAATGATAGGTGGCTCTAGCTTTGCATCTGCTGTTGTCACAAACATGTCCACCGGAGGAAGCTCCGAAACGCTAATTACGTATTAATCATACACAATAAGACATTAATCAACATGCTAATTACCATAAGAACTTTTTTTTTCTTTTTTTTTTCTTTCAATCTGCATAAGCAAAGGTTAAAGAATTATGCGAGCATAACTACACATGAACATATGTAAATTAATTATATTTAAAAGTATTAAAAGGACATGCATGACATACTGTTGCAAGAGGTTGTGAGGGTTTGTTTTGTATTCAACAGGAGTCCATTGGGTGATGAGAATAAGAACCCAATTGAAAGCAAACCAAGACTCACACGCGAAGGCAAGAAGCCAGACAAAACCATGGTCTCTGAGAGAGAGGAGACGATAAACAAGGACAAAGACGAAGAGGAACAGAATTGCAATTTCTAAGGTTTTCTGCAGTGCATTGATTTTAAGGGCAGTTTTTTCACAAAGAAGAAGAGATTGAGGATTTTCCATTGGCTAGGTAAAGATAAGAAGGTGTACTACTGTGGATAGAATTCAGGTCCAAGGCGGTTTACACACACACACACACACACACATATATATATATATATAGATGGTCGGCGCCAGCATCAATCATTGTAGAAATTATATGTCTATCTCGTTATATGTTGTCTGCCTCTATATCTCGGCTTTCGGTGAAGTGGTGGTCCTAATCTTATCTGAACTACAAGAATAATTGATGACCATAAGAGTTATTCAAACGGGATGGAAACAGGTTTTATAGGTTGGTGTAAGCTAGCTCATCATACCCTTAATTGCCATAAGATTTTACCGTTTTGTCTTGAAAATTTCCTGATTAGACTATGCAAATTAAAATTAAAAATTATTCGCCTTCTAAGTTTGTTTACATGTACACTCTGAATGAATTGTTCATGTGCATTACTGACTGTACATCCACACATGGTTGCGTCCCCATTCTTGGTACTTTTCAAGTTAAAATTGTCTACGTAAGCTTGAAACAAATGTTAGGTCTTAGTCCAAATACATTGTTCATCCGAAATAACATCGTGAATTTTTTTTAAGAAGAAAATGACACTGATTTAATTATTAAGTATAGCAAGATGTTGTAGCATATTTTATGGTTTCTTGCTTGTAGATGATGAAAAAGATTGAAGCTTTGATTGTTTTAGTTTGCTAAATCTGTTTTACCAGCTTTTTCTAGCCGCCCAACAGCTTAATAATGTTGAAAATTCCTTTTTTGATTCGAAGCTATTTATGTTAATATATAGTGCATGGAAAACTTAAATGCTTGAAGCTGTGGTTTTGAGATTATGCAGAGATGTAGAAATAGTACATTGTATAAGATTTGTATCAACATCTAATTAGTAGTTACTACTCAATATTAAGCAGATCACACTTGAAATTAGGGATGGCAACAGTTCGGTCTGAGGACGGAAATGCCATATTCATCTCCATAACCACAAAAATTAACCATATCCATCCGCAAATTAACCATCGGGTATTATCCATAACCATACCCATCAGGTAACGGATTCCTCATCGGTTAACGGTTATATCCATTTTTGTCAATACATAAAAAAAAAAAAATGTTGGCTGATCTTTGATATCTCCCATAAGTATTATTGACTTCTCATAAATTTTAATTCATATCAAAACTTTTGAACTTTCTCACAAAATGCAACTCACACTGCAATTTTTGTATTCACAAGTTAATAGATTGGGTGAATAATGATTGTACATGTATGTGTGTGTGTGTGTGTATTATTTATACTTTAATATTATATATAATTATATTATATATCATTCGGTTCAGATTCGGGAGAAGGATACGGATTGGGGACCCTATAACCATATCCAGAATCATAAACCGAATAATATTCATGGTTTTTCCCCTACCCAAAATATATCTGAATTTTCATACCCAAATCCAATCATATGGACGGTTATCCTCAATTATCGGGGTATGATGGTTAGAATTGTCATCCATAAACCATCATGTAAGTGGGAAATTATAGTTTTGTCTGCCTATCGTTTGTTTGCTAGAAATGAGGTTTATGTGACCTCTCGTTAACATAGAGACTTCGAAATTAATTTTGTGGGGCTTCTTGAATACGTAACAAAGTTAGACACTTTGGTTTGTAGGAGATTGTGTTGGATAAATATCAACAATCAATGATAAATTTATATATGCTAATAAATAATTTAACAGAGTATGAACAAAATGAAATAATATTAAATAGATAAACTGAAGATCGAGGCTTGCGTACCGCAATGTCCTTGAAACATAATTTTGTCCCTATTCTATGCTTGTAGTTCTACGAACGTCTGCTTCATCAGGATTCAACGATCTAAGTCAAGATTCCAGCACCGAGAAACTAGACTTCTGGCGAATTTCTTTGTGGTTCTCTTAGTAAGAAGGTTTGGGATTGTAGAAAATGAATTTGATTTTTCTGTGTTTTAAATGTCATGCAGATGAATGTATATATAATTGAGTTATGGTTATTCACAATATGTATGAATATGGGATGCGCCTTTTGAGAGACATATTCTCAAAGGGGTGACATTCTTTCATCACTTCAGACTTCATCTGAAAATATGAGTTTGTTAAATTAAAAATTAAATCTGAAATTAATTAATTAAAAATAATTAATGAATCAACGAATTTAATTATGAGAGTCGGTACTCAAGCTCATTTTTTGATAATTAATTATATATATTTATTATATATTTCTACTCAAAATTTCCAGTGAATTTACGTGCTGAAGCAAATGAATTAAACAGAGCACAGACTGCGCGCGGAAGGATGAGTTGTCTGTTTGATCTCTTAAATCTTGAAATAAAATGGACCTCTAAGCCAGAGAAAATTGAGACTGATCTCCCAAATGAGACCCCCAATCCGCCCAAGTAATTCTGAAGAGCTGTTCGGGTCTAGCACACAGATTGTAAAGAGTTTCGAAGGTCATGAAACTCTTAGGTTGTTTGAGAATGTAAAGCGTTTTGAGACAGTTGTGCAAACTACTGAAGGATAGAGTGGTGATTCTGGTTGGGCAGCAAGTTTTCAGTTTGCTGCTTCTGAATCACTTCCTCAACCTTCTGGAAACCTTCCTCAAGCTTCTGAAACCCTTCCTCTAGCTTCTGAAAAGCTTCCTCTAGCTTCTGACATCCTTCCTCTAGCTTCTGAAAACCTTCCTCAAGCTTCTGAAATCCTTCCTCGAGCAATGCACCAAATCTTGTTGATAGTTCTGTAAAACAAAGTAGTATCAGCAACAACGCTCTTTATCATAAGACTACTGATGCGGGTGATGATTCATTCGATGCTTGGAATGATTTTGATAGCTCGAATAATGCATCAAATCTTGCAGATAATTCTGTAAAACAAAGTATTAATCAGACTACATCTGTTGACCACACTTCAGAAACAAATTTGTTTGGCACTAGCAACTCCGGTGACTTGGATTTTGGTAGCTTTTTGCAACCAGATTTCTTAACAGGAGCATGTAACAGTTCCAACAGTTCAACTGTAGCGTATAGAGTCAGCCAGAGCCTTCTGTATTAAACAGGTGCGTGTATAAGCCAACTTATATGGGTGCTATAATAGCTGCAGAATCCTGTTTCGAATCACCGTGAAATGCTATATTTGCTGGTTTCAATAATATAATACGTGAAGCTTCATGGAAGATGCATGTGCTCATTCATTAAAGAACCTATGTTAACGCCTCATTTCTGTTGCGTGTTTAGGTTGGTTGATGCAAGCACAAACCATAAAAAAAAAAATCTGAGATGTGGCGGAGGGCGGTGATGTTTCCAGTGTAAGAGCAGGGTCAAAATCTGACGATATGGAGAATAATGTCACAGATGCATGATCTCTCGTTTATGCTCGAAAGCACTCTTTCAATCCCTCCCAAGCAAGACGTAGTACATCCGCCCTCTAAAGATTGAGGCGTAATTTGTCTATGTTTTTAGCATGCAATGTTTGTTGCGCAACTTGGATGCAATACTGCGGAAAGAATTGAAGAAGAATAATGAAATTTAACCAAAAAAATTGTGCCTGTGATCGGACGGAATGTGAATTTGAGAACCAAAAGGCAAGTGCAGAAAGAATTGAAGAAAATGAAATTTAACCAAAAAAAAATTTAGAAGGGAGGTCTGTCATACAACCGTGTGACCACCCCAACCGGTTGTTACAACGGCTGAGAACGATCATCTACCGCTCGAATGATCCAAGGATCACAAAGCTGTTAATCACGCTCTGATCACACGGTCATGGTTCATCCACCAGACTGAGGTTCCTGTCTCCTTAGAAATCAAGGATACAGAGGTACAACCTGTTGGAATTAAATAGAATTCAGTTTTGTTCAAGTGTTTAAGAAGGAAGAAATCAATAGAAAAGTGTATGTCTAGTCTCATAAGACAAGTGTATGCTTTAGATCTTTGTTTTGAATCAAGGGCTGAGATTGCTCTAGATTAGCTTGTAAGGAAATATCCTAAGTTGATATTTATTGAAATATCTGTGATTACTTCACAGATAAGAAACCTTTCACATTCCCTCCCCCGATTTTGTTTTCTCTGTTTTCATTTTCTTGTCTGCCTCCAGGAACCAAACTAACTCACCAGAATTTATCATGGCCTCAGAGCTTAGGTTCTGATCAAATTCAGGACTGGGCGTTTTGTGTGTGTGCTTCGTATCTCTGAAAAGAAAAGGGGAAAAACATACCCAGATCGTGAAAATCTCATCTGTTCTTACAAAGCCTCACATGGTTACTTCGAGCAGTGGAGGAGATCTGAGGGCTCCTATTTTCAATGGGATCAACTACGATTTTTGGTCCATCAAGATGAAGACCATATTCAAATCACATGATCTCTGGAATTTGGTGGACAAGGGTTATGAAACTATAGAAACTGAAAATGATTCTAGCGATGAAGATCAACAGTCTGTGAGGAAGATAGCAATGAAAGTTAATGAAACAAGAGATGCAAAAGCTCTTGGTATCATTCAAGGGGCAGTGTCTGATGAGATCTTTCCTCGAATCTCAAACTTTGAAACCTCCAAGACTGCATGGGATGTTCTTCAACAAGAATTTCGTGGTGATAAAAAGGTTAGGTCTGTCAAACTACAATGTTTAAGAAGAGATTTTGAGTACACTAGGATGAATGATGGTGAAGCTCTATCTGTTTATTTAACAAGATTGACTGATATTGTGAATCAAATGAAAACTCTTGGTGAAGAACTGACAAATCAAAGATTAGTGCAAAAGATACTTATTAGCTTGCCTAAATCTTATGATTCCATTGCATCTATTATAGAAGAAACTAAAGACCTTGACTCCATTGAGGTTCAAGAAGTGATTGGTACATTGAAAGGCTATGAGCAGAGGTTAAATATGCATTCTGAAAACTTAGCTGAAAAGGCTTTTACTAGTCTAAGTGTGACTGAGAGAGATAGCAGTTACAGGGGTCAGGGGAGCAACTCAAATAAAAAGAAATTATGGAAAGGAAAAGGGAAGAAATGGGACAACAACCATACTTCACAATCAAAATCAGAATCTAGTAGTGAGTCTACCAAAACCAAGTGTAAAATCTGTGACAAATTACACTATGGTGTTTGCTGGTTCAAGGGAAAACCCAAATGCACCAAGTGTGACAGATTTGGCCATCTAGCAAAAGATTGCAATCCAAGAAGGAACCAAGTTGTCAACTATGCACATAGAGCAGAAGAAGAGGAAGTAAATGTCTTTTATGCTTGTAGTGTTGCAAAAACTGAAAACAAGAAAGGAATCTGGTATATTGACAGTGGATGCAGTAATCACATGACTGCATATGAATCCTTACTGATCAACATTGACAGAAGCTTCAATTGCAGAGTTAAAATGGGGAATGGACAACTAGTGGAAGCTACTGGAAAAGGAACTCTTGTTCTAGAGACAAAGGGTGGAAGAAGATTCATCAAGGATGTAATACTTGTACCAGGTCTTGATGAGAATCTCCTTAGTGTGGGACAGATGATTGCTCATGGTTACTTCTTACTTTTTGGAGACAATATGGTGGAGATCTTTGATGACAGAAGCCTCCAAAACTTGGTAACACAAGTTGGCATGACAGAAAACAAAAGCTTTCCACTTATGCTAGATTACAATGATTCAATTGCTCTAAAAGCAAGTGTTGCAGAAAACTCTTGGTTATATGGCATAAGAGGTTCGGACATCTCAACTTTCACAGTTTAAAGAGATTGGAGAAACTACAAATGGTGACTGGTCTTCCTGAGTTACAAGAGACTAAAGAACCGTGTGAAGGTTGCATACTGGGGAAGCATCACAGGGACTCTTTTGAAACTGGAAGTGCATGGAGAGCAAGTCAACCTCTAGAACTCATACACACAGATGTGTGTGGTCCAATGAAGACACCTACACTCAGTGGGAACAGATATTTTCTGCTATTCATTGATGACTGCACTAGGATGGTTTGGGTATATCTTATGAGAAACAAGAGTGAAGTCTTTTCAATCTTCAAGAAATTCAAAATGATGGTTGAACTTCAGAGTGGTCTCAAGATCAAAAGACTAAGAAGCGACAGAGGTGGTGAATTCACTTCACTTGAGTTCCAAGAATTCTGTGAAGGAGCAGGATTACAGAAGCAATTGACAGTGGCCTACACACCACAACAGAATGGTGTGGCTGAGAGGAAGAACAGGACCGTGGTTGAAATGACCAAGTCAATGCTCCATGATAAGAAAATGCCACTTTCTTTTTGGGGTGAAGCTGTCAATACATCTGTGTATCTCCTAAACAGGTGTCCAACTAAAGCACTTGAGAAGAAAACACCGTTTGAGGCATTTAGTGGCAGAAAACCAAGTGTGAAGCACTTGAAGGTGTTCGGATCAATCTGCTATGCACAGATACCATCTCAACTACGACACAAGCTTGAGATCAATAGTGTCAAGTGTGTCCTTGTAGGTTATGGAAGCTGTGAAAAGGGCTATAGGCTCTACAATATTGAGTCACGTAAAGTGATTCTCTCAAGGGATGTGGTGTTCAAGGAGAATGAAGCATGGAATTGGGAAACCAATAACATAGACACTATCTCATTTCCACTAGCAATGGAAGAAGCACAAGCTGAAGTGCAAAATGTGAATGAACCTGTTATACAAGATGAGAGTCAAACTGATTTTTCAACTCCAACACAAGGATCTCAGTCCTCTACTTCAAATGCAGAAGGACAAGAATTACAGGATTCCTCCCCTGAAACAACTCCATCGAGAATGAGGAGTTTAAATGAGATCTATGCAGTGTGTAACTATTGTGTTGTTGAACCTGAGAGTTTTGAAGAAGCTGAGAAGGATCAATCCTGGCAGAAAGCAATGAGTGAAGAAATTGCCATGATTGAAAAAAACTCTACTTGGAAATTGGTAAATAGACCGAGTGATAAACCTGTGATAGGTGTGAAATGGATTTACAAGATCAAACTGAATTTGGATGGATCAATACAGAAGAACAAAGCAAGATTAGTTGCCAAGGGCTACTCACAACAACCTGGGGTAGATTTCAATGAAACCTTTGCCCCAGTGGCAAAGGTTAGACACCATTAGAACCTTGATTGCTCTTGCTGCCCAAAAGGGATGGAAACTTCACCAGTTAGATGTCAAATCAGCTTTTCTAAATGGCATTTTGGAGGAAGAAGTGTATGTGGATCAACCACAAGGATTTGAAGTGCCAAATAAAGAGGAGAAGGTCTACAAGTTAAACAAAGCACTGTATGGACTCAAACAAGCCCCCAGGCTTGGTACAGTGAGATAGACTCCTATTTCAGCAAGAGTGGATTTAACAAAAGTCCTAGTGAAGCAACATTATATACAAAAACTGGTGAGAACTCTGAGATGCTTATTGTGTCTATATATGTTGATGATGTGGTCTTTACTGGTAATTGTGAAGAAGAAATGATTGAAGAATTCAGAAGGGAAATGATGAGACAAATATGAGATGTCGGATCTTGGCTTGTTGCATCACTTCTTGGGAATTGGAGTAATACAAGAAACCACTGGGATTTTCATACATCAACAGAAGTATGCACAATCACTGCTTGAAAGATTCAATCTGAAAGGATGCAAATCTGTGGCAACACCATTGATCACGAATGAGAAACTTTGTAAAGTGGATGGTTCTGAATCTGCTGATGAATGCTTATACCGAAGGATGGTTGGAAGTCTGCTTTATTTGACTGCTACAAGACCTGACATTATGTATGCAGCCAGTCTCTTATCAAGGTTTATGCATAATCCCACGAGAATTCACATGGGAACTGCTAAGAGAGTACTAAGGTATATCTCAGGGACCTTGGATTATGGAATCAAATATGAAAAGGGAGAAAAAAGCAATTCTGGTAGGCTTCTGTGACAGCGATTGGGGTGGCAGTGAAGATGACATGAGAAGTACCTCAGGATATGCATTTACATTCGGTTCTGGGATATTTTCTTGGGCTTCTGTCAAGCAACAAAGTGTTGCATTGTCTACGGCTGAAGCAGAGTATGTGAGTGCTGCAATGGCTACCTCCCAAGCTATATGGTTGAGGTTTGTGTTAAAGGATTTTGGTGAGTGAATGCAAGTGGATGCTTCACCACTTATGTGTGACAACACATCAGCAATAGCTATGACCAAGAATCCTATTTTTCATCAGAAAACCAAGCATATCAAAAGGAAGTTTCACTTCATAAGGGAAGCCTTGCAGGAGAATACCATTGAACTGATCTACTGCAAATCACAGGATCAAATGGCCGACATCTTCACCAAAGCTCTACCGAGGGAAAGGTTTTGTCTATTCTCAGAGGAATGCTTGGGATCAAAACCAGAATTCATTTAAAGGGGAGTGTTGGAATTAAATAGAATTCAGTTTTGTTCAAGTGTTTAAGAAGGAAGAAATCAATAGAAAAGTGTATGTCTAGTCTCATAAGACAAGTGTATGCTTTAGATCTTTGTTTTGAATCAAGGGCTGAGATTGCTCTAGATTAGCTTGTAAGGAAATATCCTAAGTTGATATTTATTGAAATATCTGTGATTACTTCACAGATAAGAAACCTTTCACATTCCCTCCCCCGATTTTGTTTTCTCTGTTTTCATTTTCTTGTCTGCCTCCAGGAACCAAACTAACTCACCAGAATTTATCACAACCTATAGAACAGATCCTGTTCAAGTAAGGTCGTGATCATTGACGATCGAGACAACCTCATAAAGTCCATCACTCCTTCTCACATGGCCGATGTGGGACTTACTCTAACCATGCCAAAAATGCAATAAAAGACGACGCAACTTTTGAGACAAACAACAGCAGTCCGTCTAGGAATAACATTTTACAATAGTTACAAACACTAAAATATGATACAGATGAAAAGTAAATTACAACATTGAAAACAAAGTGCACATTAAAAGCAAACATATTACAACAGTTTTCAGTCTCCATGGCTTTGGTATTTCATCTCTGGTGAGATTGACCAGCATAGGTGAATATAACATGGTTCGTCTGCTACTCCTGTGCAGCCTTCACCGGGTGCCCGTTTTCGACCTCCGCGCCCGGGTGCCTGTTTTCGACCTCCGCGCCCGCCTCTATCAGAGGAGCCCTTCTCGTCGCTGTAAGACACCGAACAAGCCAGTCTCATGCATACCATGGCGGTTGGGTTGTCCTGGAAATTAAATCAAGTAGAATTGTTTCAGTAAAAATAAACGGGTTGCGGGAAGCAATCCAAAAAAAAAAAAATTGTATTCGAAGAACTTACAGCGATGAGGTTAATGACTTTACGATCCTTCAACCTCTTAGGAAGACACAACTTTCTGTGGTCAACGTCCCTGCAATAAAAATTTCATCAATTGACAATAATTATGTTGATCATTTGCTGACTTGACTTGAACTCGACTATTTTAATTGAATTAGACTAATAACATTCGATGTTTGGTGAACTTTTAATGTTAAGACTGGAATAGTTAAAGTGGAGAACGGTTCAACATCTTGTATGTTACAAGTCCTATCTAGAGTGTTACAGGCGGTTATTTCAATTAAATTAGACTAAATGACGACCAATATTTAACAAACTTGAAATTGTTGAGATTTAACTAGTTAAATTGTACTAGACACACATATGTTAGAACTGGCTTGAACTCAATTCCAATCTTGTTTAGTCCAAGACTCAAGACGAGCTTAGACCTACAAGTATTAACTATTAGGAGTAACTTACTTTTGGCCTTGTGCGAGCCTCATATAGCAACGAACGATAAGTTTAAGCAGCCGGAGGGAAGGCCCTACAGTAGTAATCATGTCGAGCATTTTCCTAAGAGCTTGTGATTACGAAAAATCAATCCGTGAAAGCGCAGCAGTACTTATGTCCCTCAGCACTTATAATCCTCTCCATTATGAATGTGGCCACCTGCATATACAAATCAAAAGATTTTTCAGCATAATTAAGTTTCGTTATCCTGATGCTAGGTACTTATTTGACCCGTACAAAGCAAGGCCCTAAATGGGTTATGTCTTTACCGTTGATAAAATTGCAAATATCTTAGAAGTCTACTAAGCAGACTTTAGTTGTTATGTCCTGGAACCATGGTGTGATACTCACCATCTATGTGGCTGCTAGTGAGCGTACATCGCTTAAAGCCGTTGTCAAGCATAGTCAAAGCACTTGTGAATTATCGTCCATTGTTGACGTCCCAATGATATTTGATGACGTCCCAATGATATTTGAGGATAATTCTACATGTTTTTCTTCTCTCATTCACAACGATACCAGATTCAAAAAGGATACATCAAAAGAGACCATACCAAGCACATTGCGCCAAAATTTTTCCTCTCATCCTTAACAAGCGCATCAGAAGATCGAAGTCAAGAGAATTAGTTCCCAGACAATCTCAATGATCTCCTCACCAAGTCACTGCCGAAATTCAGTTTTTAGAAGCTTGTCCTAAGATTGGAACGCGTAAACTGTCTGATTTACATTGCTTACAGTCTAATTAAGGAGTTTTGTCGAACTCAAGGATAGTATGTAGTAGAAGTTGACCTTAATGTACTCTTTTTCTTTTAGTTCAGGAGCATTTGTCCCATTAGGCTTTGATATCATGACAAGGTTTTAACTGAGGTCTTAGGTTGGTCATACCTTGATGTGAGCGTTCATCACTGTTTGATTACTTCAAACTTCGACCTTACACTTCTCACGCTTTGGGTTTTGTCGCACTTCGCGTGTGAAATTGCCTATGCCGATCGAAGACTTCAATAATCATCTGAGAAGACTCGATGCAATAACTTCTTAAACGTTACACTTTAAGAGTAAGTCGTAGTTAATATCTTTAGGAATGTGATTGTATAAATTTAGAAGCAAGATTCCAATAGGATTTGGATATCTAATCTTTTATGGCTTGTATTACTTGTGAGGCAAGAAAAGTACAGGTGGCTAGTATAAATAAAGGCATAAGGCACCAAGGAGCATAAGTGAAAATACTATCGTTGAGCTTCCTTCTCTCTCTCTCTTGCCGTCCCTCTCCTATCCTCACTCTCTAAATTGTCCTTCAACAGTTTCTAGTCTTTTTAACTAAATTGACTTAAAAATAGATAGCACCATTGGAGATGATTTGTGCTCCCTATTTCTCCTAAGTTTATGTAATTAACAATCCTTAGTTTCAAATGGCGACATGCTAGTTTAGTTTTGTCCTCTTTTGTTTCGTAGTTTTCATTTATGTGCCACACTGCACTTGTTTCTCCCAAGATATATAACTAGATAGCCATCAAATCCATAAAGGTGATGCATGTGAGAACCCATTAAATTTGAAATAAACACTTAATAAAATAAGTTATAATTTTTTTCATTTTTTTCATCGTTATACAAATACAATCAGGAAAGACAAGAACATTACAACTCTGTCTACTCTGATTTCCTAACTTTATATTAATCAGAAACTTGATCAGGATGTAGTGTTCTTAGGGCAGAAGTACATGAAGAGCAAGGCCAACACAGCTGACTTGACTATAGTGGCCATGGGAATCCCATATTTACCCTCTCCAAACAAACCTTTAACAAATGGCCAAAAACATAGCACCACCCACACACTACACATCATCTCCCCTAGGCCCGCCCCATTCACCCCATGAGCCGGTGGTTGCAACCCCAACGCGGCCGTGACCAGAGCTGTGAAGTGCAGAAACAATAGAGCTGTGGCTGGTACAAATATTGGAGACTCATCAAAAGTAAACCTTGCATCATAAGTAGCTTCTTGGTCACTAGAAGAGGAATTTTGCTCCTTTTGTGTGACTTCAAATGTCACCTCAGATATGCCCAAAAGCTTAAATACCACAGTTATAACTCCAAATAATGATGCAGTTAGACTGAGTATTTTGCTCCATGGTCCCACTGTCAATTGGTTCCACCAAGCCCTAATTGATCGACCAGAATCAAGGTTGGAGTGTAGTGTGTTTAAGTGTTTAATGAGAAACACAGCGGCAAATATTATTAGAGCCGGTTCCTGGACCTACAAAGCAAAATCGTTTGAGTTGAGTACAGCTAGGGACACCAAATTTCATTCATGAAAAAATGTGATATTATTTAATCGACATAAATCATTATATGTACTTAAAATATTGTCACACTATTTGGTAACAGATTAATTTGAAGTGTATGTAAACTTCGTAATTCCATCATTAACAATGTTTATACCAAGCTTAATTTAACAAAATTTTAAAACAGCTATTATTGGTACTCCAAAAAAAATCATGCATTCTTCTTTGATGAAAAAGGTAAAGAAACCAAGAGTGCAAGCCGGGAGACTATTTTAAAATGCTGATAACAATTCCGAACTAAAATCACATTATATTTAGATGATGATTCTATTTACCTTTGGCAAAAAGTGTGAGTTGGTAATGAGGCAGTAAGCTGGCAGAAGAGCATAGCATAGATCAGGAATAGAGTGCAGTCCCCAAATTAGTATCCACAGGTAGGCCAAGCATTGCCTAAACTCAAGCTTGGCATAAAGGGTGGCAAAAATGGGACAATTTTTGCTGAACAAAATTTCTAGCAGCCCTGTGATGCCTCTCTTCCTCTGGATCAACATAACATGAGTAGTTGAGGGTGCAGCGCCCAGAAAACCTGGTGGTTCTGGCATGCATAAGATAGACTTCCACCCTCTTGCATGGATCTTCATCCCAGTTAGAACATCTTCTGTTACTGACCCATAAACCCAACCCACCTGAAAAGGGTCGGCCCAATTAACAATATCAAAACTCCTGTCAATTAGCAGAGACTTCTTCTAACATTAGAGAGAAAAATATTTTTCGTTACCTTTTTGCCCCATAATGTATCATGCTCGAACTCGGAATGAGCAACATGGTATGCTGCATCGACCGCACAGGAAAGGTCGTCCGGTTGATCAATATTTTCCTCTAATAAAATTTGAGTAGCTGATCGGATGAGCTCTGGAGAATTTCCAAAGCATCCTTTGTTTAGTCTCTCACTCGTCAAGTTCCCTTAGAAAAATCATTTATAAGTTGATTAAGCATTAATGAGTGATTAGTTATATACATTAGTACAGATAATATATATCTTGGATGCTAAGATACCTTCATTA